GTCTCAAAAAAAAAAAAAAAAAAAATGAAATATTGTTTTTTAAATTCAAAATTTTAAATTAAATTGACTTAATTACATGAATCATGGCTAATATAATAGATTCAGCACTGATAGGCTGCAGGAAGTTTTTAATTTGTTTTTTTTAATCCTGATTCTATGCTAGATTTATATGAAACTGTTGGATTACCACTCTTTCCTGAGCCAGAATCTATCAGTTTTAAACAAAAATGTCTAAGCATTATACTTACAATATGCTTTGGAAAATGCTAGCAATGGAATGATTAAAGAACTTTATCCTAACTTTTAGAATATAACAAATCTCCCAGTATTATTTGCCCCCAAAGCAATGCATAACCACTAATAGGTAGAAAGGATAATGAAAGAGAGAAAGGAGACTGAGGCTCTTCTCAAGGATATTATCATAATTGTGGATCTCTGCAATTTTGCCAAACATAAGTACATCAATAACTAACCTAGGAAACTTTTAATCTTTTATCTATGTCCTGTTACTCATATCATCTCTTTGGAAGGCAGGAGGATAAAAATGTTTATCTTGTTCCTGGAGCCCCACCAGAAACCATAATAGCTTTACACAATGCAAGGTAATCTCAGGTCTCAAAAAAGTACAGTAAATGAGTTTTCAGTAATTTAATCTGAGTATAAAGAAGGCTTTCATTGTCAAGCTTAAAGAAAATAGGACAGATATTATGGATATTATGCACCTTGAAATTTAATATCTTTTATTGTCAAACTAACTCATATTTTTAAAGATATATATTTAAAAATATATAAATAATAATCCCTAAACTAAATGTATACATTGCAGTAACGGAAGTAAAAACCATAGGCTGGGTGCAGTGGCTCATACTTGTATTTCAAGCACTTTGGAAGATCAAGACAGGCGGATCACTTGAGGCCAGGAGTTCAAGACCAGCCTGGCCAACATGGTGAAACCCAGTCTCTACTAAAGATACAAAAATTAGCCAGGCATTGTGGCATGTCTCTACTGCAAATACAAAAATTAGCCAGATGTCGTGGTGTACGCCTGTAATCCCAGCTATTCGGGAGGCTGAGACAAAAAAATCACTTGAACCCAAGAGGTGGAGGTTGCAGTGAGCTGAGATGGTGCAGTCTCAATAAACAAAACAAAACAAAACAAAAAACAACATGAAGTTTAGGTCTGAAATGAAAAACCATGTTTCAGTTATCCTATTCTCAGAAAGCTCTATGTCCTTCAAGTTAGAAAATTCAATATGCTCTAGGATCTGAGCAGATAGACAAATAAGCTATATCCTGAATATTCTCCAGTGAATAATGGCATAATTGTTCTTGTAAATATTTTTGAAAGCTTTCCATTTTAAAAATACATACATAGGAGTCTTCTGCATTTGAAGATGGCATTATAAAATATTTTTATTTTTATTTTTTTCTGCTTAAGGGTGGAGGTGGTTGGAAAGACTAATTCAGGACATGACATCCTGGTGTTCCAACCAGTTTACTTCCTGCAGTAGTCAGTTAACTTTCTGTAGGTACCATGGCTCTTTAAAGCCTATTATCTGACCTCACAGGCCATATTTCTCTATGACTTAAAATAGGAAGTTCTTTATAATACGACTTTATACTGGCTGACCTTCTTCTCCCATGCCACTGCTACCTCCCAGAATACTTCCATTGAGCTAGTAGGGTCAACCCTAGAAGTGGATCTGAAGTATCTGAAAGCCCCTTGACTCCATTGTTCAGTGGTTTTGATTTTTTTTAAGCAGCAAAATTCTTTCCAAAAAAAAGAGTAAAATATCAAATATATAAAAGTGTTAAAAGTGGAGCAGGTCTATTTGAAAAAAAATAAGTAGGATTTCTACCTTCCCTCCTAGCACCTCCTCTATGATCATTTCTCAGGCAGTTTCTCAGCATCACTTTGTCTCCATCAAGAACTGTTTGAAAACTACTGAAAAATGTTGTAAAGAATGGAACAGACACCAGCCAATGGAAGGCAAAATGGCTACAGGTGGGCCTGTTTCTTTACTAAAACAAAACAAAACTGCATTTATGTATGGTTGCATTTTCCTGGACTATGAAACAATCTGAATTGGCAACTCATAACTAAAGCTTTATTGTTTTCTTATACATAACCACATATTAGTAATGTCTCAATTCTCTTTTTTCTTGTAATCTTGTTCTATCCTAGCTAAAGCATTTGCCTAGTTACAATATCATTAGAAATTACTCACAGTCGACTAGTTTCAAATATACTTTATTTTTAAAGTGATTGTCTTTCTAATTCCAGCTTTATACCTATAAACTGGTGACCAAAAAAGATTATGAACATCTTTGATCCTGTTTTCTCATGCATAAAATAGAAATGCTAAAAATTTAGTGACTTAAACTATGCAAAATTTATCAAGCTCAAAATCTGGCCCACACTTGTTGCTTAGTAATATTAATGTTGTCTTATGCTTTACAGATAGAAAACTGCCTCCTTTGACCATTGTCTACTGACTTGTACAAAGAAAATCATGTATAATCTTTAAAAAAAAGAATTATTTTTGTAGAAGGATCTAATAACAGGAAGTCAAGTCTCATTTATTGTATAAAAAGATGTATGCCTAAATTATTTGTCTTATTTCTTACTGACAAAAACATGTTAAATTAGCCCTTTTTCATACACACAGTTCCAATAATTAATTCATGTGTAATCTTTAGAATTAGAAGTCGAGGGCCATTTGCAGATCTTTTTATTTGCCATTGTTCCTTACAGTAGAGCGATAAGAATCATTTGTGATTATAATGTAAAAATGATGTATTCTACTTCTAGCCATGACCAGCCCCTGACTGGTAGCCAGACTAGATCTCCATTAAAAACATTCATACATCTGGATAAAATAAATGATTCAACTCTTTTCAGGCATTGAACAAGAAGCAACACAGGACTATGAGTCTTAAATAAAGGAAAATATATAAGTCAAACAAAAGCTGAAACAATTAATTAAAAGAAGATTTGTATAATAAGAAAAACCTCTTCTTTAAAATAAAGTAGAATACTAGTAGATGAAAACTGTTTTTACAGAAATGGCTGATATGCAGATAAATGTAACAAACTTCCTTTTTTCTCTCCTTAAATTTTATTTGAAGGAAGCCAATTATCTAAAACCAAATAAAAATAGTAACAGTATAATAGGTTTTATTAGGTATACAGTTGTAAAATATATAGAAACAATAACACAAAGGCTGGAAGGCAAGTGGAAGTTACCTGGAAAATTCTTAAATTTTAAGTGATGTGATGACATATTATAATTCCTAAAGTAGCCACTAAATATCTAATAATAAAAATATATATATTGAGAAGTCCAGTAGAGGAATTAAAATAGAATACCATGACTATTTAATTGAAGAAAGACAAAATGAGAAATGCAGCACAAGAACAACAAAAATGAAACAAATGGAGGTTGACTGGCACAATGATAGACCTAAATCCAACCACATAAACAATTATATTAAATATATATAGGCAAAATACTCCACATAAAGGGCAGAGACTTTTAAACTGGAAAAAAGATACAGATAGGTACTTTTTGTGATAAATAAACTTTATATACACTTATAGATGTTACCAAACAAAAAATAAAGAGAAAAAAGAGATTCATTATGATTCATCAAAATTAAAAAAATCTCTTGATGGCTTGTACCTGTAATTCCAGCTATCAGGAGGCTGAGGCAGGAGGATAGCTTGAGGCAGGAGTTTGAGAACTGCCTGGGAAACAGCTAAATGGGTCTCCAAAAAAAAAAAAAAGATTAATTATCTAGGCATAGTAGGACATGCTTATAGTCCCAGGTGCTTAGGAGACTGAAGCAGGAGAATCACTTGACTACACTCGAACTTGAGGGATGGAATTAAAAAAAAAAAATCACAAAATTCTTCTCGTCAAAAGACATCCTAAAGAAAATCAAAACTCAAGTCACATACTCACAGAAAATATTTTTAGTGCCTGACAAAGAATTTCTATATTGAAATAATATAAATATATCATAATAAAATATTAATTTAAAAGATAATTTAATTAAAACATAGGGTAAATAATAGAGGAGATATCTCACGACAGAAAATATAAGGAAATAAGATAAATTCATGAGAGTGGCTAAACTTTAATACATTAACAATACTAAATGCTGGTGATAACATAGAACTGGAAGTCTTTCACCCTATGTGGAAGTGTAAAATTGTACATCCACTTTGAAAGTGTTTGGTGGTTTCTTATGAATTTAAAACTGAATCCACCCAGGAATTGTAGTCTTACTTATTTACTCAAGAGGAATGAAAACATGTAGCACAAAAAGGCATATAGAATGTTTGTGGCAACTTGATTTATAATAACTAAAAATTGGAAACAACCATTATAAAAGACATATAAATAAACAAATGGAGATATAGTCCTGTAATAAAATATTTCTTTCTTAGACATTAAATTAAAATTTAAATTTTAATGTCTATTTCTTAGACATTGAATATTCGACTCCTGATATATGCCACATAATAAGTAACTCTTAAAATCTTTATGCTGTGCAAAGTAATCCAGAAAAAATGAGTGTATACTCTTATTACTGTATGTGAAGTTCCAGAACAGGCAAAACTAACCCATGGTAGTAAAAATTAGAACAAGGCTTGCCTCTAAGGTGTTGGAAATTAATTTTAATGGGATATGGGGAAACTTTCTGGGATGATGGAACTGTTTGATGTCTGATTTAGGTGCTGATTACATTAATATGTTCATTTCTCAAATCTCATCAAGTTGTCTAATTAAAATTATGTATTTTACTGTGTAAATATTTTTCTTCAGTTAAAAACATGATAAAATTTAAGCAAGCTCACACATTATCAATCCAAGAAATACTGACGGGATTTTTTTTTTTAGTTTCTCTATATAAATAGCTTTATGGATCTTCTAATCACACTAAATGAAGTACTTTAATAAAGTACTTTTTCTAGCATTCAGACACACTTTAATCTTATTAAAACTGGTCAAATTTCACCTACTAATTAAGCTAAAATCTCAATAAAATATTTGAAATCTAATCTTTTTCTTTTATTCTTCAGCACTTAACTGATAGCAAAAATTTCATAATACTCACATCAAGACCTAGGCAATTAAAGTTCTAAAAAATATAGGTTATGTATTAAATGCTAGATAAAATTTATTTGCAATTTGCCTTTCTAAAATATTTATTACTCATTTTATATTTATTGTTATGGATTACTTTCCTCCAATTTTGTAAATGATGAAATGTTATTTTTATTAATATGTTAGAGAGAATAATATGAAGAACACTCACATGTCTACCACCCAGATTTAACAAATGTAGGCTTCTTATACTGTAATTGCCATATTTGTTGAAATCCTTTTAAAAAATAAAATATTACACATACCATTGAAGTTGTATCTATACCCTGCTTCCTTTCTATTTCCTTTCCTCTCAGAGAGGACAGTTCCACATTTATTACATGTCTTTTAAAAATATTTTTCTATGTATCCTTTCAGCAATATACAGTATCATTTTAGGCTGTAAAATTTTAAGTTTTATGTTTATGTAAATGTACCTTTTAAGTTTATGTAAACGTACATATTCCTTATCCTTTTTCTAATTTGTTTTGTTTTTACATTAAATTATCATATTTTCTACTTCAAAATGAAATAATAAAAGTTAACCATGGGAAACCTAATTGCCATTGATTTAATTGCTTACCTGGTTTTCTCAATTTATTCTTTGATGTAATATTTATAGGTATAATGAAGAAGAAAAGTAAGAATTATTGAACAATCATTCTCTACTACACCTTGTGCTAAGTACTTGTTTACATTTTCTCATTGTATTTTTAATGGGTGTATAAACAATGTTAAACATCCTTAGGAGTAAAGACAAATTGCTGTTGGTGTAACAAATTGTTGTGAAACTCAGTCTGAACTATCAAGATGTCTAAAATGTAATTGCCATGTGAGAATATTGACATACAACCACAAGTAATACAAATTAACATATGCAAGCACTGACAGAATAGTATTAAGCAAAAAAACCTACATCAACAAGAGTTCAAAAGTTATAAATATTTACCAAAGTCAGAGCAGGACTCACAGATCCATATGATGTTTTGTCTTAGTAAAAGAGTAAATTAGATTTCTACCTGTCTCATTCCTCAGAGTTTTTTTGGTAATCCTTCCAAATGTTCTCCTCTTGAACAAACTGCATTTTCCCTTAGTCTTTACCACACTTTTCAAGCTTCCATTCTACTGCCTTTATTCTTAATCCTCTACTTCCTGGTTTCCTCTGTGTGACTCTCCAAAAATTTCTCTTTATTGTTATAATCTTCCAAAAATATAACTCTTATGATGTCATTTTGTGTACTGATATCCTTGGACCTTTCCATGCCCTGGTAGTTGAAAATTCAGACAACTTAGAATGGCAGACCATTAGTACTTAGGTGACTGGGCCTCTGTTTATCATTTCAGAAAATTCAGAAACTTTCAGAAAATTCCTTCTTTAGGAAGCCTTCTCTGAGCTAACCCTTTCCTCATTGCCCCCACCATTATCTTTCTTATACAAAAGTAGGATTGGGAGAACTTTCTATGTATTTTGCTAATTACTATTATTACTTCCCTTATTTTAATTATTGTACTACATTTCATTTATATTTTTACTTTCCTCTAATATTATTGCACCCCGAGTTCCCTTTTATTCTGATTCTCCTAGTACTTACAGTAATGATTAACACATAGGTTTCATGAATAAATATAGCAAGGGAAGAAAGATATTAGTAATAGAAAATTACCCTGTCAAAATCTTACTCTAAAGTGTAGTTGTTCACACACACTCCACCTTGGAGTCCTTCTTACTGTCAATTTTCCAGTAAACTTAATCCATGTTGACAGACTGCCATTCTGTATAAATGTAACATATCTAATATTTGGCAAGTTTTGATGAGGACAAACATAAGACTGATATAATGATATTGAAAAT